GGGCGGTCCTTTCCAAGGCTACTAAATCACTAGTTTATGAATGGTTTATTGTCTAGTTCTGGGATTCGGGGTATGAGTGCTGCACCCATCCAGGGGCGGGTAACCAGCATATAATACAGAGGAGAGAATGAGGCTGTGCTTCTCTCTCTCCCTTTTTGCCTTTTCACTCTGTGGCTTTTGGAATCTGCTGCTCCAGTCATTGGCTGTCCCTCAGCGACACCACCCTCTCCTGGAACGAGCTGATTATGGACTGAAACGTCCAAAAAACTCTAAGCTAAATAAAGCTTTCCTTCCTTCATTTTGGGCATCGGTATTTTGTGTCAGCAATGAGAGAAAAGTAACCAAGACAGATCTTAACATTGAAAATTACAGTACTCTGAAAAAAAGATACTGAAGAGGATATCAGAAAATGGAAAAATATTCCTTATTCTTGGGTAGGAAGAATCAACATAGTGAAAATGGTTATCTTTGCAAAATTGTTATACAGATTTAATGCAGTCTTGATCAAAATTCCAGTGGCATATCACACAGAGTTAGATAAAAACAATTCTAAAACTCATTTGGAACCAAAAGAGACATAGAAAAAGCAATTTTGGGCAACAAAATTAAGGCAGGGAGCATCACAATCCTTGACTTAAAATCACACTACAGAGCTATTGTGATTTTTTTAAAAAAATGGCAAAAAAAAAAAAAAAAAAAAAAACCAGACCTGAGGATAAATGGAAAGATTACAAGACACAGAAACAACTCCAGACACACTCACTCAGCCACCTTCTCTTTGACAAAGGAGACAAACATCTTCACTAGATGAAAGATAACTTCTTTAAAAATGGTGCTGATAGGGTTGGGGATTTAGCTCAGCGGTATAAGCGCCTGCCTTGCAAGTGTGTGGTCGTGAGTTTGATCCCTGGTACCGATAAAAATGAAAAAAAAACAAAAAAAAAAAAAAAGAAAGAAAAAGAAAAATGGTGCTGATAAAGCTCACTTTCTACATGCTGAAGATTAAAACCTGATCCATATATTGCACCATGCACTAATCTAAAATTGCAATGGATATAAGATCTAAATAATTAACCAGAAACACTAAATCTCCTGGAAAGTAGAATAGGTGGAATTTTTTAAGACATTTCTAGCTAAATGAGCTAGAGACCATACTTGAGATCATTCTCCTAGGTAAAATAAATTACACACATAATCTGGGTGTGGTGGCACATGCCTGAAATCCCAGCACCCAGGAGGCTGAGGCAGGAAGATCATTGCAAATTTGAGACCAGCCTAGGCTACAAAGTGAGCTCAAGACCAGCCTGAATTGCACAGTAAGACACTATCTCAAAAAGACCACCCCAAAAAATCAGACACACATTTTCTTTTCTTTTCTTTTCTTTTTTTTTTTTTGTCTTTTTTTGAGACAGGGTCTCACTATGCAGTTCAGGCTTGAGCTCACTTTGTAGCCCAGGCTGGTCTCCAACTTGCAACGATCCTCCCACCTCAGCCTCCTGAGTGCTGGGATTACAGGCGTGAGCCACCATGCCCGGCCACATTTTCAAATATGGCATGATTTCTCTGGTGTAGGAAATGGAAAGTGTAAATAAGGACCAAAATATATAATAGATATTAAGAAAGGGAAAGAAAATGTTCAAGTGAGAAAGGGAACAAGTGAGGGGGAAAGGCTAAATTAAAGGAGAGATAAGAAAAAATAGAAGAAAAAATGGAACAAAGTTTTTGTAAATAAGGAGGAAAAGGGGGACTGAAAGGGGGAAGGGGAATGAGGAAAAAGTGGAATCAAAATATATCATGTAAGATACAGACTCTCTATGATGAATGTCATCATTATGTACATCTAAATGTACCAATAAAATAAAAAAGGTTTTTAAATGAAAGCAAAGCTTTTGTGAATAAGGAGGTGGGGGAGAAGGGTTGAGGAGAGGGACGGGGATGACAAATAAAGAAGCAAGACAAATCATGTACAGATGCAAATTTTCTATGATAAATGTTATCTTTATATATATCTAAAATGTGCCAATAAAACGAAAATGTAAAAAAAAATTTAAAATAAAAATGCTAGCTGGGCACAGTAGTGTACGCCTGTAACCCCAGCACTTAGGAGGCTGAAGCAGGAGGATCACTGCAAATTCAAGACCAGCTTGGGCTACAAAATGAGCTCAAGGCCAGTCTGAACTACATAGTGAAACCCTGTCTCAAAAAGATGAAAATAAATAAAAAATTAAAAATAATAAGATAAAATAAAAATTCTGGACTTGGTGATGCACACCTGTAATCACAGCACTCAGAAGACTAAGGCAGAACTGCTATAAGTTTGAGGGAACCCGGGGCTATATAGTGGGGTCAGGATCATCCTAAACTGTGTAACAAGACTTTATCTCAAGAATAAAAAAAGTTCTCAAAATTAAGAAAAGGATGGGATGGGGCTGGAGATTTATCTCAGTGGCACAAGCACCTGCCTTGCAACCGCGCAGTCGTGAGTTCAATCCCCGGTACCAAAAAACAAAGGATCGGATGTAGCTCAGTGGTAGAGTACCACTGAATTTAATCCTCAGTACCAATTAATAAATATATAGATGATAGATGGATAGATGATAAATGATAGACAGACAGAATTTGAATCTAAGTCTGTGTGACTCTAAGGCTTATGCTCTTTCCACTTTCCACCAGTTAGATCACACAGGAGGAGTTAGTTTGTAGAGGACTGATAATGAAATTCATTTGAGACATATTGAATCTGAGATGCCCTTGTGATATTCAAGTGAAGTCATCTAATGAACCATTGGGTATTATATATCTGTCCTTGTACAAGTTATTTAAAGTCCCTTGGCCTCCATTTTTAATCTGTAAAATGGTGATATTACCTATCATAAGGAGTTAACTCAGACAGATTCTCACATAATACTCTGCTTCCATCAAGCACTCAATAAGAATAAATGAATGAAGAAACTAATACCTATAATATTGTATACATTATTTTGGGGGATGGTGGCACATGCCTGTAATTCAAGTGCTTGGGAGGGTGAGGTGGGAGGATCACCATAAATTCGAGGTCATTCTGGGTTACATAGTGAGTTCAGCATATGTTATCCAAGCTATATAGTCAGACCCTGTCTCCAAAAAACCCCCAAAATACATATATTCTTCACCACACAGTTTAGAACTTGATTATTGCTTTCTTTTAAGGTCTATTAGTTCAATTCCCTTATTTTAAGATATCTCACCTGTGTATCTTAAAACCCTCCTCCCTTATTGATCTCTATAAATGAGTATAAGTGTCTTTATAATAGGAATCTCTCTTGTGCCCCTCCTGCATGGTCTCTAACTACAGAATTGGGGCTTGATGACCAGTTGCTGCTGCAAGTTGTCAACTATGGGAGGGGATCAGGGCTCAAGCACGGAGGACCCTCTGTCTCCTCCAGCAGCATCTTTGGGAATCGATGGTACCATCTTGCACTCAATCATCTGTGCTACAAGCCCAGAGTCATCTGTACCTCTGCTTCCTCTATCTCAGCACGCACTTTCTAGTAGCCACCTGATTCCAGTGATTTCACTTCACCTGTGTATCTTCAAACCCTCCTCTCTTCTGCATCCTACCATTACCCTAGATGAGACTTCATTTTCTCACACCTTCATTATGGTAAGAGCTTTTAAACTAGTCTTCTCAAAAGCATCTTCCAAACAGCTGGGGATGTAGCTCAGAGCAAAGGTCCTGGGTTCAATTCTCAGTACAAAAAGAAAGGAAAGATAGAAAGATGTAAGGCCCCTTCTTAAAAAATCATATTTTGGGACCAGGAGTTTAACTCAGCAGGAGAAGTGCCTACCTGGCAAGCACAAGGTCATGAGTTCAATCCTGGTAACTAACTAAATAAATAAAGAAAGAATCATTATTTCAAACCAGGTATGGTAGTGCATGCCTGTAATTCCAGCACTCTGGAGGCTGAAGCAGGACGATGGCCATGAGTTCAAGGGCAGTTTGAATTACAGAGTAGGACCTTATTCCAAAAACAAAGCAACAACATAAATCTTTATTTCAAAGCTCAGCGTTGCAACTAGCTGGGACTCCTCTGAATGTGTGGTCTTTGTGTGGCTGCACAGATCACACACTTGTAAAGCCAGTGATGGCAGAGTTCTTAACCACAATTCCCTGTGACTTATTAGCAGTCACTCTGTTTTCATTCTCAGCCATCACTAATAAGGAAATGGGACTCCTTCTAGCTCTATGCTCAGGCCCTTAGTTAGACCCTTCAATTTACAATTGTTTGTTTGTTTATAACTCAGCCAGGGCTTCAAACTCATGATTCTCCTGCCTCAGCCTCTCAACTGCTAGAATTACAGGCATACATGTGCCCATCTGGCTTAAACTCTCTTTTTTTTTTTTTTTTTTTTTTTTTTTTGCAGTACTGGGGATTGAACTCATACCTCACACTTGCCAGACAAGCATTTATGCCACTGAGCTAAATCCCTGGCCCTTACACTCTTAAAATAACTTCCTTCGAGCTGGGTGTGGTGGCTCACGCCTGTAATCCCAGCACTTGGGAGGCTGAGGCAGGGGGATCATTGCAAGTTCGAGATCAGCCTGGGCTACAAAATGAGCTCAAGGCTTGCCCGAACTGCATAGACACCCTGTCTCAAAAATAAATAAATAAATAAATAAATAACTTCCTTCTAGGAGTCTGAGGCAGTTGTTATACCTTTTCTTTCACTACTGGCATACAGCTGTGAAAATACTCACTTGCTCTCTTCCCAGCTATCCAGGACCCGTATACATAAAAGGCCACAAAGGTAGCCTTGAAACTCAGCAATGAGGAAAGCATCTATAAATTTAATAAGGAACAGCTTCTAATAAGTCCAGAGGTCCTTGCTCAACACAATTGCTCATGTGCCACCAACCAGGACCTTGGTCATGCTGGAAGAACCTCCCACCCAGGCCTTTGCCCTGGGTCCTGAGTCCGTGCCACATACAACATATGCGACACATGCCTCTTGTTTTCCAGCCACCGAAGGCCACAATCTCCAACTGTGTACTGCTCTGGAGACCATGGAAAGCTGGGTCAGTGTGGGAGCTTGGGAAAGGCATCCCACAGCAGAGTCTGTGGCCTGCATGCTGTACATTGCTAACAAGGAACAGGTAGGAAGTCTGTTGGGGGCCAGTGATGAAAAGGAGCCTTCTTGTTTCTAGAATGGGTAATGTTAGGAATCAGGTCCAGGTTTGGGAAGAGGCTCTGCAGAACAGAGAGAAGGTCAAGTGTTTTCCAGAGCTAACTGCTAACTCCTCCCACATTCAGGAGTCTGTGATGGCTACCCCAACACCTGAATCCATGTGCAGTGGGGAAGATGAGCCCAGAAACTGTGTGGTATGTGGGGACCGAGCTACAGGTTATCATTTCCATGCCCTGACCTGTGAGGGCTGCAAGGGCTTCTTCAGGTGAGACCCTCCTCTGCTGCAGACAGTCAACCCTCCCCAGCCAGACTCCTTTGGTCCCTCGCGCATGCTTGGGCTTGTTCAGGTACATTACTTGCTGTATCTGAGTCGATTCTGTGGGTAGTACCCTATATTCTGGTTACCACAGCACTGTGTAAACTGGTGGAATAAGAGAGGCCAACCATCTGTGTCATGCACATAGCCCAGAGTACTTATGTGCCTACTATCTGCAAAGCAGCCAGGCTTACCTAAATGACCCTGTGTCCTCATAAAAATACTTGAGATCTGTCATACCCTATACACCCTTGAGGACCTCTGGACACAACTCAGATTAGCTTGCTGGAAACTTCCCAAGTCTTTTAGACCATATCCTCTCAACTCCTCATATGCCTGTCTACTGGTTTTCTACTCCCACCCAGAATCTATATCATCTCTGTCACTTATAGACGAGCAGTCAGCAAAAGCACTGGTCCCACCTGTCCCTTTGCTGGAAGTTGTGAAATCAGCAAGGCCCAGAGGCGGCACTGCCCTGCCTGCAGGTTGCAGAAGTGTCTAGACGCTGGCATGAGGAAAGACAGTGAGTTGGCATCCCACCATCCCAAGAATCTATTCCCTGTATCTCTACACTTGGTCTTTGTTCTGAATAGCACTTTTCCCACATAGCGTGCCAAAGAAGCCTTTTGAAGCTAGGTGGATTATGTCACTATTATGCTCAAAACCTGCAGTGGCTCCTCATTGTTCGGAAAGTGTGTGAGTTCATGGCCGAGTTCCTGCACCCCACCTTTTGAGCTTTACTTTCTTTTTTTTTTTTTTTTTTTGTCTTTTTCATTTTTATCGGTACCGGGGATCGAACTCACGACCGCCTGCTTACAAGGCAGGCGCTTATGCCGCTGAGCTAAACCCCCAGCCCCTGAGCTTTACTTTCGAACTCTTTCCCCCTTGCTCCATTCATTCCAGCCACAGACTTCCTCAAATACAGCAAGCACTCTCCTCCCCAGGGCTTGCATTCTATCTGACATGCCCTCCCCTGGATATTGTATGGCTTGCTTTCTCTCTCTTCTGCCTCTTGAGTATAATACCTGTCACCTAGTCAGTACTTCGTAATGGTTGAATTAAACAATGTTTCTCTATGCCAGTAACCAGTTTTGTTTCCCGAAATGACATAACAGGCTCATAGACATTAAGTTGCTCAGGTTCATTCAGCGTAAAAGTTATAGTCAGTATACAAAGTCTGTGGGACTCCCAGGCTCACCTGTTCCATGATATCAACTACTTCATAATAGGGAGCAACAGAAAGGAAACCATAGAAGCCAAACATCTTGGTTTGAATTCAGTCTGTATCACTCATTTTATGACCTTGGACCTGTCACTGGAAACTAAGCTTGTTTACATTTCTGAAACAGATGAATACTACTTGCCCTCTCTACCACAGAGTTGTTTCATCCAGTGAAATCTGACCTCAGAACCTTTGAATTTTTTTTTTTTTTTTTTTTTTTGTGGGTACCAGGGATTGAACTCACGACCACACTTTGCAAGGCAGGCGCTTATGCCACTGAGCTAAATCCCCAGCCCAACCTTTGAAATTATAATGCCAGTGTAATGAGAAGTGCCTACCTATACTACCACAATCGAGGAGCCCGAGGCAGGAGGATAAGTTTGTGCTCAGCCTGGGCAACTTTGGACTGACTGTGTCTCAAAATAAAAAGAAGAGCTAGTGAGTATAGCTCAGTGGTGAAAGCCCTAGGCTTAATCACCAGTACCACATATAAAATATAATGCTATACGTTAGGTACTAAGATCTTCATTGTTTCTCCGGACGCCAAACATCTCATAGCTTTCCACTTTGCTTTCCACCCTTCATCTCTCATGGTGCAGTTTTCTACTGTAGTGCTCCACAGGCACTTAGGAGGTTGCTGAGACCGTGTAGGAGTCCCCAGCCAACTGGAGCAGTCAAGCTCAGGGAAGTTCTAAGAGTTCAGCCAAGATCAAGGAAGTGTTAGAAACTCTCTTCCCTCCCCCATTGTTGCGCAGGGCACCTGGAGGCCCAGATCTGGGACTGTTAGACAGGTGCTGTCTGCTGGTCTCAGTGGTCTTGTCGTATCTCTCACTTGGCACAGTGATACTGTCAGCAGAAGCCCTGGCATTGCGGCGAGCCAAGCAGGCCCAGCGGCGGGCCCAGCAAACAGCTCTGCAGCTGAGTAAGGAGCAAAAAGTGATGGTCCAGATCCTTCTGGATGCCCATACTCGCCATGTGAGGACCATGTTTGACCAGTTTGTTCAGTTCAGGGTGAGCACTTTGCAGAATTTGGGCTGGGAAGTGACCAAAAGGGAACCCAAAAAGGTAGCCCAAGGGAAAGGACTGTGTTCCCTGTACCAAGAGATGACAAGTCTTCTGTAACCCCAGGCTGGTAAGGATCCTCAGCAAATAACTCTTCTAAGACAAGGCAGCCAAGGCCTACAGGACAGCCTTGGCCCCAGGGCGTCTCACTCACATTAGATCTCTGCAGCCTCCAGCTTACCTGTTCATCCGACACCAGCGCCCACCCATCATGGTCCCTGAGCTGCCTCTGCTCATGCACTTCGCAGATATCAACACCTTCATGATAGAGCAAATTATCAAGTTCACCAAGGAACTGCCCCTTTTCCGGTGAGTGGCCCGCCCTCAACTTCTAGGTAACAAATATTTCATAAATTTCCACCTTCTTTCCCCTCAAAAGCCACTGATCAAGTTAACATTTCTGTCTAAACGTCAGTTCACAAATTTTCAGTTTTTCACTTTTAAATGGTACTGGAGGATGAACTGAGGGGTCTTATGCACATTAAGCAAGCACCATACCACTAAGCTACATCTGCAGCCCGTTTTGAAACAGGGCCTTGCTATGGCTTGAATTTAAATCTGCTTCAGCCTCCCAGGTAGCTGAGACATAAGATTGTTCCACCATACCCAGATCTAACTTTGTTTGAGGGGAGTCCCTCTCCATCTCTAGAGTCCAAGGTTTGGTCTCAAGTGCCCTTATTTCTGACAATCCACAGGTCCCTGCCCATGGAGGACCAAATCTCCCTTCTCAAGGGGGCAGCGATAGAAATGATTCAGATTGCACTGAATACCACTTTCTGTCTCCAAACTCAAAACTTCCTCTGTGGGCCTCTTCACTACACTATAGAAGATGGAATTCATGGTACGATGGTGGCAGAACCGTTGAAGGCATGGGTCCTTGTGCCACGGAATATGGTAAGGTGACTTGGAGTCCTAAATCCAGTGTCTCTCACAGTGGGATTCCAGAGAGACTTTTTGGAGTTGCTCTTTCACTTCCATGGGACACTGAGACGACTAAAGCTCCAGGAGCCCGAATATGTGCTCATGGCTGCCATGTCCCTCTTCTCTCCTGGTGAGCATTTCCCACAACCCAGAAACTGTGATCCTGCCACCTGTGTCCAAATGTTGGACTCCTTGAATGCACCCACCTCCAGCCATTCAGCCTCCAAACCTAGAGGGTCAGTACCATCTGCAGCTCTGTGGGCAGCGTGTAGGCCTCCCCTTACCTTGACCTTCCCAGCTCCTTATCTTACAGATCGGCCTGGAGTTACCCAGAGGGAAGAGGTTGATCAGCTACAGCAGTGCATGGCACTGACTCTAGACAGTTACATCAAAGGCCAGCAGCTGAGGTCTCGAAATCGGTACGTGGGCTTAGAGACTGCACCTACGAAAGGAAGCTTAGGGAAGCATAGAACTTAGGATAAATAAAGATTTTTATGCTTTTTCTTTGGGAAAACAGGTCTCTTGTGGTTCTGGTCCTTCCTGTGGACCATCCTGTTTCAAACAGTTCCATCATCAAATTGCATTTACTGCAGCTTCATCTCACTTTTTCCAGATTTTTTTTTTTTATTCAGTAGAGATGCAAAGTAGTAGCTCACAGGCTCAGTATAACAGCATTCCTGAGATTGATGACATCCATCACTTTGTCACTCCAACATCTCTAGACCAAAGTAGCCCCTGAAGAGTTTTGCTCACTCTTTTTCCCAGGCCCTTTTTCTCCTCTCTAGGGGGCCAAGTCCTTGGAGTTTTCATATCCTTTGAAGTTATGGTCATTTGCAGTCCCATGGCCAAAGCCAATCCCTGGTTCAGTAGTCTACAATCTACATAGGTTCTGAAGTAAGCACCACTTCTGTCTTGCTCACTGCTTAGTGAATGAGTCAACTTGCCAGAAAGGGGATGCTTTATACCACATAATTACAAACCTACCTTCTAGAACTTGCTCTAGAAGGCCAGATTCTCACATTCCGTACAGATGAAGTTCTGGCCAAAGTTGAGGCTTTCTTTACACTTGGCCCCCAGAGATCTGGGTTCAGGAAAAACTAAGCATGGTGAGAGAAGACAGTGTCAGAGGCCTCCTTGGGGATCTTTGGAATTTTTGATAAATTTGTCATATCAGAGTGTGACTTTCTCTAACATTCAGACAGGATTACTCAGGGACAGTTCAGGAGATCAGGGCCTCAGAACAGAATACCCATCTGCCTTATTTCCCTTCTCTCTCTCTGGTCTTCCTGATACTTCCTCCACAGGTTTCTGTATGCAAAACTGCTGGGCCTGTTGGTGGAGCTCCGGAGCATTAACAGCATATACTGGCACCAAATCCAGCTCATCCAGGGACTGCCCGCCATGATGCCCCTGCTCCAGGAACTCTGCAGCTGAGGCCGGGCTCATCACCTCCCCAGCCCTCCTGGGCCATGCTGGACGGGAAAGGGAAATTGTTGGGACAACATATTGGGAACAGGAGGAAGGGAGCTCAGTGATTACAGTGAAACACAAAAGTAATAACTGCCTCTTCATGCGGTTGTGGGGGTCAAGTTGTTCTCTGGAAGCACAGAATGTGAAGAAGGAAGCACCCTCAGGGAAAAGAGGTAATGCTCCTTCTGGGAATGGGAGACCCCCACTTTCTGAGGCTAAAGATTTAGCCTCTCAGCCCTACTTTCTCAGCCTCAGGAGGCTGTGGGATAGGACAACAGAATGGCGAGCAAGTCTCATGCAGACTTTTCCGCTCTGAAGAGGAATGGGCCAGGTGCTTTAGTCCAAAGGAAAACGAGGACGAGAGGAAGAAAATTCAGCCAGACACACCTCTTAATCTTCTCCCTTTGTCCAGAGCCACAAGCCTGGGGAAGGGGAGAGTGGGTCTGGTGGCAGAAGTAGGAGCCTCAAACCACCGCCTCATCAGCTGACCCTGTGGCAACTCCAGTTCTGAGGAGGGCATGGTCCTGTCCCCCACTCTGCTCCTGAGACCTAAGGGTCACCTAGCAAGATGGGCTCTGGAGAGGAACCTAGTGTTTGGCCCCATGGCACCTGACTCAGAGGTTCAAGCTGCTGTGGGCCCAGCTCTGGGACAACCTCAGCCCACAGTGATGCTGAAGCCACAGTGGAACCTGTTGCGCCAGTGGTTGAGGAAAGCTCCAAGAGCTAGGGTGACGGGCAGGGGAGGCATCTTCTTCTCCAGCACAGCACCTACACACCAGTTACTATCCACCAAGCCTGCAAGGGAAATGAGTATCAGCAAGGTTATTTAACCGGCCTTGGAGAAAGGAGACTGCGGAAGTAAGGGAGGGCCTCCCTCCCTCTGTATCCCCTGATCCCTCAGCACTTCCAAATGTCATCACAGTGACACTCACCTCTAAACACCATGTTGGCCTGGGGCAGAGTCAGGTGGTAACCAAAGGAGAAGGTTGTGTCCTGTAGCCTTGTGTTTGCCTCAAATTCCACTCCAACCTGAACCTGAGAAACATAGGCAAGGAGAGGGGGATCCATGTCACTGAAGACCAGAGGGTCCTCATAGGGGACCAGCAGAATGAAGGCAATGTGACAGTGTGAGTCATACCCAGTGTGAGGAGGAAAAACACTAGGCCAGAGATGATCAAATCATGTTATACACATGTACAAATATGCAAAAATGAAACTTACTATTCTGTGTGACTAATATGCACTCATTTTTTAAAATGACAGTGAGAGGGAAAAAAAATTGGCCAGCAGAATTTGTGGAGGTCTAGAGTGGCAAAAGTTGACAACTGACTTGTTAGGGTAGGAAATGACATCGGAAGCCTTACCTGTTCATTTGCCCTGTGGTAATAACTTGCATGGGCCCCACCTGATCCCACATTCAATGTAGCTACCCAGTGTACAGCTGTAAGAACCAAAGGATGGGAAAAGGAGCGTTACAGGAGGACACAGGCAAGAACACCAACAAAGTTACAACTGCCCCTCCCTGTCACTACCCTGCTTTACCCCATACCCGAGTACTTCCCAGCCAGGGTCAGGATGGCCCCTTCTTCGCCTGGCCGCCGGTGATAAACTAGCTCTCCTCCAAGCACCAGCCGATGAGTGAGGCTCTGCAGGAAGTGAGCAACCATGATCACTGTGGAGGAATGGAAAGGCATGGAATCAGTCACAGAGACCAGGTCGGGCCTGCACCCCCATCCCCAGTTACCCCCATTCCTGCTCACTACCCAAGAAGTTCCTTCTCTAACTCCTAACCCAGACATGGCAAACCTGTGGCACATGTGCTGGAGCAGGCATACAGAGCCCTCTGTGTCAGTATGCAAGCCAAGTGCATAAGTTGTTTTTTCTAAACTAAAACTTCAATATTCAGGTGTAATTGCAGTGTTGGCATTTTGCAATAAATAAGTGGGTTTGGGGTTACAGTTTGGGCACTTGGTCTAAGAGTTTCACCATTACTGTCCTAAATTATACAGTAAACAAAGAAGCAGAACCAACATTAGCAAATGGGCAACCAAGACAAAAAGAACCCTGTCCCAATTTCTCACCTGATTCCCCAATCAGGTCAGGATTTCCTAGGGTCAGAGTGGCTGTGTAATCATCTCCCCGATACTCGCCATCAAACTGCCATGTCAGGAACTTAGCCTGCTGTGTCTGAGCAGGGAGACAAGAAGTCAAATTGCCCTCCTTCTTTCTATGATTTCTTCTGCCTCTGCTCCACCCCTGGGTCCCCCAGGGCAGGATACCCATGGAGGAGAAAAAGAAGTGCCTCAGTGGATGGAGGCGGGAACTGGGGGTCACCTGGAAGACAGCCTTAGCTCGGAGCCGCTCTGCCAACAGAAGCAAGACCTGGGCGTTGAGGCTGCCACTGCTGTCCATATCCCCCACCACAGTGGGGAACACCTGTTGAGGAGGGTAGACAGTAAGGCTGAGCTGGGGAGCATCACTCAAACTAAACCCAACTCACTACTGTAGGATTTCATTAACATTATCCCGCGCCCCCTGGTGGTGGCACAAAGACAAACTCTGATATCCTCACACAGGAATGTTTCTCTGCCCCTTCCCATTCAAAGGAAACTCAAAAAATCCAGTTACTTCCCATTCTTCCCCATAACATGTACATTTCCTTCTCCTTCAGCTCTAAATCCCAGGTGAGCTTTTAGGGAGTTGACTTAGGGGTGTGATGCCCTCACCTCAGTAGGGCTAAGCTGCCAGTCCCCTGCATAAGCGGCATGGAGGTGATAGCCCGGCAGGCCCAGGGCACTCAAATGCACAGTGTGAGACACCTAAAGAAAGAAGAGGCAATGGAAGAAAGAGCATTCCTGCTTTATTTCAATCCCTTGTTCCACCCTTCATGTTCTCCCCATTTGGAGGGACTCTCAAGAATCCCCAATATTCCAGCATAGGCAGAGGGTCACCAAACTTAAAGCAACAAGTCCCACAGGCAAGGGAAGTACAGAGAACCCCCACATCCTCCCTCACTTGTCCCAGATAGCCTGATTAAGGTTGGACTACAGAGGAAAAAAGGATCTAGGAACGGGTAGAGAGGAACTGTAAGAAAGGGCCAGAGGAGTGGGAGCACCTGGAAATGGCTGCTCAGAACCTTGTTGACAACGAGCTTCACTCCCTCCATCTGTGCTGGGAATACATCTGAAGGGGGTGAGGGGAAGGGAAGGAATAAGCACAGACCAGGAACCTCTACCCAAAGAGGTACTCTCCCCTTCCAATCCCAAAGGAAGCACGGGAGGAATTGACCTCCTTTTAGATCCTGCAACAAAATGCTCCACTTCATTTGGGCATCTGAACCTCCTTGAGGCTGGATGCCCCTGTGTTCTCCCCAGTCCTGCTCCTATCACTGGAAGGATACCCAGTATTCCCTCCCGTCCTCTGCCCCTTCAACTTGAGACAGCCGGATACCAAGTTCTCACCTTTGCAGAGTCGGTGCAACTCATCGAAGCTCCCAGGATTGGGCAGAGGTTCTTCTCGGCGGGGGCTCCGGCGGGGCAAAGTCCCCATCGGTGCCAGGCCCAGTGTGTTCCCCATTTTAATCCAGAGGACAAGGAGGGACCAGGATTAGCCTGGGAAAAGACGCTGTTGCTCCCTCTACCAGCCATGAGTCCCACCCCCCATCATCCAGCCCCCCCAGTCCCAGAAACTTCCACATGGTCCAATGCTAGCCCTGGAACAGAAAGAGCTGGAGGAGAGAGCATCGATGAGGAGCCTGAACCTCAGGCACACTCCCGCCCCATCTTTGATCCCTCACCCCCACCTGTCACCCCTGTCCTTTCGCTCATTCTTTAATCATCCCTCTTACCACGGACCTCATCTATCTTGCTAGTCTCCCTACTTTTCATTCCTGCGTCCCCCAAACAGACCCTCACTGGAGCAGTAGTCCTTACCATCTCAGACCATCCTGCTGCCCCTTTCCCCTAGGCACACCCCGGTCATCTTGATGGGGGCAGCCATCTTGAGTGATGGCAGAATTGAAGCTTCACGCTACATTCTTAGCGCGGTCTTGAGCGCCATCTTGGAAGCGGGCAAAGAAATCAATCAAAGACCCAACCCTCTCCTGTGAGCTCCTCCCAATCCATGAAAAAAAGGAGTCGCGATCTCCCAGTAGCCAATGAAAGAGATGGAAGTAAAAGAGTGACAGGCCTGATGACCTGAAAGTTTCAACCCCGGCACTGCAGAGGCGGGTGAAATTTAATTGGTGGCGTCTTTGTAGCAGCTCAGATCTCCCGGCCTTTCCAAAATTGGGATAAACCTATGAGCGTGCAAGACACTAGAGGGAGCATGCCGTCGCTTAGGCCAATGAAGCTCCTTCCATCTCCCGTGACGCAAAAAAAAAAAAAAAAAAAAAAAAAAATTCCAGCCTTGACACGAGTTTTGTGAAGAGTGACGGAGGGAACAACTATGAAGACTTCTTTTTGTCCTGGGCATTGAACCCAGGGCCTTCGCACCGAGCTATTTCCCCAGCGCTTTTTTCTATTTCAGATTTTGAGACAGGGTCTCGCTGAATTCCTTACATTGTGCAATCTGGGTTCCAGTTTTGAGATCCTCCCACCTCAACCTTTCAGGGTCTGGGATTACAGGTGTGTGCCATATCACATCAGGCTGAAGACTTGTTTTGAACCTTGGTTCATGTCACCTTACCACCACTAATACATCCTTCCCACAGAGGCTCTAGGGCCTTTCACAGTACATCTCCGAATGACTACCTCTCACAAGAAAACAGACCTGGGGGAAAGAGTCCTTCAGCCTCATAGGAAGAGTTTGGGCTGTACTATCAGTTGGATTCCTTCATCATATGAACCCATCCCAGTAGGAACAGATGTTGGTATGCGAACATATTTCACATCACACTATTATTGTTCCTATTCCTACAAGAGTGGGGTCTACAGCTCTCCTATTTGTCCTTTTGGTGAACTGGGAACCGACATAAGAGTTAGGGTTAGAGGAGCAGGTTCTGGTAGAATGGTTCCCTATAACAGCTGCCTTCTAGAGCCAACCCTCCCCTCTCCCAGTCTCAAGTCACAGTAAGGAAATCAAATCTAGGAACAGGACTGCAGCCTGTGAATATGCTTCACCCCAGGGCCAGAGGCAAACAATAGAGTAACCCTCAAGCACTATGTATTCCACAGGAAAAATAGATGATTTCTTGGTTTTCGGTCACTACCCCCGCTTACTAACTCCCACATCTCCACTCCCAACTCTCAGGAATGTTCTATCTGCATAGGAGGTAAGCTTTGGGGGCAAAAGAGTGAAAAATACAAATGTTCCTGATATATGTTTAGCTGATTCCACTGAACACTCTGGGTCTGAACAATGTACCTCTGCCTCCTTCTCTCACAACTAGGACTGGGGCAAGGGCCAGGGCCTTGCCATCAGGAATGCTATTTGCCCCTCTGATTCAATATTGGTTGACCACCACCTCAAACAGATAAGGTGAATAAGTGACCAGGCACCTTCAATCTTTATCCAGGCAAAAGTCTTTCACCTTTTTTCCTATGAGAGCTCTCTGGTTGGGAGTGGGAGGGTAAAACCTGTTTCTTAAATTTGTTTTCCTGGAGGTAGGGTATGCTCATTGATCAGTGAGCAGGAGGGTCATTCTGAGTACTCACTTTTTTCTCCCCCATCTCATTACACATTAACTCAAACAGGACAGACTTGATAGCACCTGCCCTCTGACCCTGACCTCATTCCCCTCCCTCCAATTCTTTCATACTGCCCCTGATTTCTCCTTTCTTCTGTTCCCCAATACCTCTGTGCTAAACTGCAGTGATGAGAGGTAGGTTCAGGTGATGAAATCTACCCATAATTGGTTACCAAAGATTGGATGTCAGAACTAGAAATCTTGCTTTCCCATTGTATAAAAATCTAAGAACTGATAATCGCAGGTCCCAAAAGAATACACCTTAAGCAGACCTGAAGTGTACCCTCTTGCCCTCTCCCAAGGCCTTACCCCCAGTACCTTCCCCATTGCGTTGAGTCCCCCTTACTTGTCCTCACCTCCCCCATTTCTCCAGTTTTTCTCCACAAGGTTCAACACACACACACACACACACACACACACACACACACACACACACACACACGAGTCTATCACCTGACAGTGGGTGGAGAAGTAGACCAATATATAGCTGTGCCTCTGCAACTAGTCCAGGAACAGCCAGCCAAGGACAGAGACGCTGACAAGGTATGGTGAGCAAGCAAGAGGTGTGGGCAGCATGCAAAAGGAGGGAACCGGAGTGGAGGGCAGGGGAGGGCAGGGACTGAAGCCCATTTGACTAGAGTATCCCTTCCCACCACCAGCACACGAAAACACTGTTCCTCTGTCACCTTTTCACCATGAAGCTCCTTGCAATGACTGTGCTGCTGCTTACCATCTGCAGCCTAGAAGGTGAGTGTCATATGGAGAAGGGGCCCAAAGATAGACAGGGCTGGAGGTCCTGGACACTCATCTATGTGTGCTCCTTTCTTCAAATCTGGTGACCAGAGGGCTCAAAAACTAAATCAATAGCATTCCCTCTCTAAAATCTGGAAGGCCCATTCAAAGACACTACCGGGTACTTTTGGTGGAAAGCGCAGAGAATGGGGGTGGATACTGGGAGAGGTGTAGCAGGAGACCAGGCCTCCTTACTGGAGACCCAGCTGAGAAGAGTACGTGTGTCTGCGCAGGAGCTTTGGTTCGGAGGCAGACAGAGGAGTCAAATCTGCAGAGACTGTTCTCTCAGTACTTCCAGACCATGACCAGCTATGGCAAGGACCTGTTGGAAAAGGTGAAGGCCCAGGAGCTTCAGACTCAAGCTCAGTAAGTCTTAAGGAGAGGGGTTCAGGGGCTGTGGGACCGTGGTGAGAAGGAAGGGAAGGTGGGAGGTCTCACAGGAGACTGAGCTTGGGATTGGGGTAAGGATGGATTCAACTTAAATTGGAAAGAAAAACTTATGTGTCACCCAAGGATCCCATGCACCTGTTAGACAGATGGAGACAGCACAGAAATCAGTCTTGAACGTCAGCATCCAGGGTGTATTCCTCTGGCCAGTACAGGGCCTGCTTCTCCTCTTAGGAATCTTACCATGGCCAAATGTACCCGGTATATAGTTTGGGGACCTAAGTCAATTTGTCCTAACCTTTGCCAGAGACTAAAGTCCTTCACATTGACCTCTAACCCCTCTCTATCCAGGGCTTACTTCACAAAGACGCAGGAGGAGTTGGTACCTCTGGTCAAGAAGGCTGGAAATGATCTGTTTAACATCTTGAGCAATTTCGTGGACTTCAAAAAAACACAGCCTCCTGCCCAGTGAGGTGTCTAGATCATTGCCCTACAGCTCCTGCTGGCCCCTGGAACACCCACGGGCTAGATCTAGAGCCCTTATCTCTACTTACTTTCCATTTTCTACAATAAATGCAGGAGTCAAACTCTGAGCCTTGTGTGTTTGGGTAACAAGAACACCAGAGTAGGGGAGGAATCGGAGGAAAGAAAAAGACAAATCTGCTTCAGAAAGAAGGATGCCAGGCAAGGTGGTGCATGTCTATAATCTCACCACTCATGAGGCTGAGACAGGCAGATTGCTGCAAGTTCAGGGCCAACATGTGCCGTGACCCATGTGGCCCTTTGAGGTTTATGGGTGAAGGACCTTGGACCTCAAGAGGAAGAGAAAATAAAGAACAGACAAAGCTGGGGTCAGGTGGAGCTCTTATCCTCCTGATGGGAGGAAAGGTATTGACCCCTCACTGCAAGGGCCTTAATTTATACCTTTTAGCAACTAAATGTCACATGACACCCTGTTGTCCTAGCAGCCACTGTTCAGATTGTCTTCAGCCAGGTGTTCTCCCGGCTGAAGCAGCTTCTTCACATGCTAGCCCCAGGCACTCTTTGTTGTTGGGATGGTCATGCTCCAGCCTTGTGTGTGTGGTCAATTTCCGGCTTCAATGACTTCCAAAAAGCCTGGGATACATAGTGAGTTCAAGGTCAGCCTGAACTACATAATGAGAACCTGCCCTGTCTCAAAAACAAAAAAACAAAACAAAACAAAACAAAAGGCTTTGGTATGGAGTGTGGAGAAAGTGTTGAGATAAATGATAGAAATGTCAGAGCAGGGGCTGGAGATTTAGCTCAGCGCCATAAGCGCATGCCTTGCAAGCAGGCAATTGTGAGTTTGATCCCCGGTACCAATAAAAGGAAAAAGACAAAAAAAAAAAAAAAAAAAAAAAAAAAAAAAATGGTCAGAGCAGGGGCTACAGATACAGCTTAGTGGCACAATACCTGCCTGGCAAACCGATGTTTTTCTTCCTCAAACTGAAAGAGTTTTCCAGAGGCCTGGGAAGAGCCTCCCTGTAAGTCATGGATCTAGGAAAAGATTGAAAGTCCATAAACTCCCTGGTGCCGATAAAAATGAAAAAGACAAAAAAAAAAAAAAAAGTCCATAAATTCTGGATACTACAGAAAACGAAGGCACTATAATAAATAAAGGAGAGAGAGAGAGAGACAGACAGACAGAGAGACAGACAGACAGTCAGACTTGCAGCAGAGACATATTTTATTTGAGACAAAAAACTTGAGAGAGGCTGCTGGCTCCAAAATACCAGAGCAACTCTTTTACAGAGTAAGGGGTTTATATTTAGGGGAGCTGAGTAGTAGAGAATGAGGAAGCTGGAAACTATTCTAGGATCAGGTCATCTATCTTTTTTTTTGTCCTGGGAATTAAAGTCAGGATCTTGTACTTGCCAGGCAATTGTTGTGCCACTTAGCTATATTCCCAGCTAGATCATCTATCTTAATCTGTGATCAGTGATCCATTTCATGTTTATAATAAGGTTCACTTTTTTTTTTTTTTTTTTTTAAGATTCACTATTCTTGAAGAGCCGAGGGCCTTTTGCTTTGGCATGGTCTGTTCTATAAAGAGGACTTAATTAGGGGTATTGATATTTTTACAATGCTAAAACAATGTGGGAAAGGGTCAAAACTCATGGGAAGATGTCCTTTGGACTTTTCCTTACAGACATCCCTCAGAATGTCTTCCTAGTTATACTAGGAAGAGAAAAAAGCTCCCCCAAATTAACCCAGTGTTCCAAGACACTGTCTGAGCTGAGGGGACCCTGTGTTTCTCCCATCTTATAAGGAAAGGAAAAGCTGGGAATACTCCACTGCCCAAAAGTGCTCTAGTCCTCCATTCTGATTTGGACCCTGTGTGGGGAAGGCCCATTCTCAGCCCTTTGCCTACCATTGTCCAGGAGCTGTCCATGGAACAGGATGGGCAGCTGTCTCAGAGCCTGGATGTGGGTAGCCATGAAAGTCATTTAAAGGCCTGACGGGTGTGTAACTTAGTGAACACATGGGGCTAGGGAAAATTTAGGAGCTGTAGTATCTGAATTGCATCAAAAGAGACTGAAGATCAGTCAATGGGAGGAGAAAAATAAATAAAAAATGTAGGACAAAGGAAAATGAGGCATTTTCCAATAAAGATGTGTCATCACGTTATTTACTGCAATGCTGGGGATTAAAGCCAGGCCCTTTCATATTAGGCAAGGGCTCTACCACTGAGCTATACTCCCGGTTCCCTATTTTAAAACAGTTGCTTCTCTACCCAGGCTCATTTCTTGCATCTCATTTGAAATCACTTTTCTTTCAGAGAGTAGAGATGGCTCCGATTTCTTATAGGTAGTGACAACCTCCTTAGTTTGGCCTTCAAGACTCTTTCAAAACATCCACACTTTCTCATGTGGCAAATGTGCAAGGACACAGATATCTCAGTCAGTCACTTGTATCAAGTAGACCTTGAATGGTTATTTCATTTAAGAGCCTGAATTTCTCCTAGGGGCTGGTGAGCATATCAACTGGTGTAAGTAGCTAGAAACTAGTTTGGAAAGTGTAAGTCACTATGCAGGGCAAAGTACTGCTCAATACATGGTATTGCCAGTAGTTAGCTCTAGACTTGTTGGGAAGGGAGCTGTTTTGGGTAGCACTGAGGGGACTCTTTGGCCATCCACCCATGTGCTGGGTGAAATGATTTTCCACTTGGACCAACTTGTTCCCCTTTGCCTTACCCACTTCCAACCCTTATCTGATCCTGTCTCTAAGGTCCCTCTTGTCCGAATCCCCTGAAAAGTCATGGATTTCCATAAAACTGTCCACTAGGAATTTCTCAGGCACATGCACTGGATTGGCCTTATCTGGGTTGGTGACTATTGGGATTAAACATAGGCTCCCCCACCACATAACCTTGCAAATGCTGAAGTCCATGTTGGGTGCATAAGTTTTTCCTCTGCCCTCATGTCTCCAAAAGTGCATGTCCTTCCAACAGAGTGACAGTATACCCCCAAGGCACCTAGGATCAAGGTGCCATCCTTCCCCCAGCCACTCAGCACTTATTCATATATTGAGCAAACAGCCCTGAAATCCATTAGACTGTGAGTTCTGTGAGGTTGGGAACTGAGTTTACCTTTTTAAAAATTGTATCTCCAATACTCTGTCTAGTGCTCAGTGGAGGCTAAATAAATAGATGATAAATTAATGACTCAGTGGAGTCCAGTCTGTGGCAGCTTTATTGGCAGTACTCCCTGGCCATTATTTAGTAGGAGCTGGGAATGGGGAAGGCAAGAAGGACAGGAGAAGGGAATGGGACCAGAAAAGAACCATCAATGAATAGCATCTTAGCACAAGTCTTTAACAGGGAGGAGGACTGGTAGACACTAATCAGGGGTTTAGCATGATTATTGGGATGGGGCCAGCTGGCATTAACCGAGGGAGGGCCTAGGTGATGCCAACCATGAGGGCTGCGAGGAGAACTGGAAGCTGAAGAAGGAGGTAACAAGGACATGTGGTCTAAAGTTACTGGGGCGGTTTCTCATGCTTCAGTGTTTCATAAGTCTCCTGGTTCCGAGTGCTCAGACCCTAAAGGTGGAAATCAAGGATGAGAAGCTTGAGCCCAATGCAGGTCCCCCTAACCCCCTTCTTTTCAAAAGTCACTCACCGTGTAAATGCCATCTGGTTTCTGCAGAGATGGAAGAGAAAAGGCATTAGAGATCCATGTGTCATGGAGGAGCCCTTGGCTCTCCTTTCCCATCCCAGGAGGCATCTGTGTGAGGACTCTGGCCAGCTGCCTTAAGGCTGGAGGGGGCTCACAAGGGTGCTCCCAGACTCAAACATGCTTTTTGTTCATGTGGCTACAAACACACATCCACACCATGGCACACAACTCTCATGTATTCACCGGTCCCCCTGCTTTTTCTATCCCATTGTCTGGTGGGTATTTCACTTGTGGCTCAGCTAGGTGGCAGGGTTCATAGACTGAGGTGAAAGAGGCACCTCTGAGCTGCATAGGAAGCAGCAGTGCCAGACACACACCCTCCCACGAAAGGCCAGAACCCCAGGCTAGCTGAGGGCCTGGAAAACTGCAGGAGGATCCATACCTCATAGCTGGCTACAGTTGCCTTTCGCACTTGGATCTGGAGTGAAGAAAAGTTAATCAGTAAAGGAGAAGTTAAAGGCTCATCTCCCTTAACCCCAGACTTTGGGGGAGAATCTCTTTGATTCCCCTCCAATGCATGCTACTGCCACCCTCCCACTTCTCCAAATCCCACCCCACCCTGCCTTACCTTGAGTCGACAATAGAGCAGAGTCAGGATTATACCATACAAGAACAAGATGGCATCCAGGATATAGCAGAGCTGAGGCTCGCCCAGGGCCGCTGAGGGGAAAGAGGATGCCCATGGGGTCAGGGACCTCAGTGGGGATCTGGTGCTTGCAGGAGATGACAGGGCTCTAGAAAGGGGGTCAGAGCCTGGAAAGGAGCCCTCTGTGGGAAGTAACTATCTTCCTCTATGGATTCCCGTTTCTCCTTCTTTTCCCATTCCCTCAGTAGGGCAGAGATAGAACGGGCGGCATGGATTCTACTGCAGGACTTACAAGGACTAAGCTGAAGACTTCCGTCTCAGCCCAATCCTCTTTTTAGTCCTGTGACTCCCAGGCAGCACTGAGCACTTCATTCACCTCAAGGACTCATCTAAGTTCACGGGCTAAGACTAAAACCTCAGCTCAGAAGGGAAGGGGCTAGAGGCAGTGTCAATTTCAGCGAAGAAACCACAGGAGTGTCTCTATTCAGTCCTGTGACCTGTGGCTGAGGGCTGGACAGGAAGGATGTGAGCTGGGGAAGGGAGGGAAGGCAATTACTCTATTATTGGTCATCTAGCATGAGCCTCATGCTTTCTGACCCACAAGACATTTCAGTAGGCAAAAAAATGTGTCCACTTTCCTTGGCTGTGTAGACACCACTGGCCCTGCATACAAGGCTGGGAGAATGACAAGAGGCCCAAGGGAATGACCACAAACTAAATCCAAAATGTAGATTCCTCTTCCGTCTACTCTGCTCTTTCACTCACCCTGGGCCTCTGAGAGGGGAAGTTTTGCGTAATTTTAAAAAATC